CATGGGCCAGTGAAGTGACGTCCTCCACAACTAGACTGAAGAACAAAAGGACAGCAACTTGTCTGTTCCCCTTCCCCGATTCCCCAACGCTGTTCTCCTCCCCCAGTTCCCCAATAAAATCTTAAAAAAAAAAAAAAAAAGATTACCTGTTCTCTCTACATTCAGAATAGTCATTGACAGTAGTAAAAGTGGTTTCTCGGTACAGGGATTCCTTATGCCCAAGATAGGGAAAGTGTGCATTAGGATATTTGGGCATAGAAGAATCCGTACATGGATTTGATATGTCTGGTTTGCTATGTTTGAATTTCTGGCTGAGTATGCCATAAATAACTAGTGATGAGTTGATGATCCTTAGTGTAATTAACGATGAGAGGTAGTATAATGTAGAGAGTTAGGCAGAATTCAAATCCCTTAATCTGGATTGTAGTTTTTCCATTTCTGAAATGGGCATGTTGACTTGGAGTTTGGTTTGGGCTCTATCATTGTTGGGGTATTAGGAATGATAATTCTTTCCTATCCTTAGAGTTTGATACCAGTTGAGAGGGAGACAAAAATAGCTCATAGAGATCAAAAGCAACAGCTTTAATACTGATGGTTTTATTGGGTTGGAGAGTGTGACAGATCTGTGGCTTTGTGTGGTTGGACTTGACAGTACAGCCCTATGTTTCGACTTTTGGCTTTTGTTTGAGGGGGAGAGTTTTTATATACAAAGCAAACACGTGCCTGAGTTGCTTCCTCACACCCAGTGTGGGTCCTGATAGTGGGAACAGAGAGAGGTGGGCTTCAAAAGGCAGGTCCGTTTACTCCTAGTGCATACATGGAAGAGCTGAAAGGAAACTGCAGGTTCCCTACGGTTTAGGCAGTTCTTACAGAAAATGAGGAGAAGGCTGAGGCAGGTACGTATATGCTGTGGTCGTTTTCACAGTTCTTTAGAGAGGAGAGAATGAAAAAGAGAAAGATGACAGAAGCTTCCTTCCAGATGCTTCAGAGACGGAACTTCTTTATCATGAAGCCATAGGAACTCTCCATTTGAAATTGCAGTATAATTAGTGCAGTTTCCCAAAGGAAACAGTTAACCTCATTTACTATTAGTGTTCAATACCCTTGCTTTCAACCCTAAAACGTCAATGGAAAAAAAAAAAAACCCTCATTCTGCTCTCTTCTGCATTTGAAATATGTTAGATATACAGTGATGTTTTGCTTTTGGGGGTCAGATTGTTGAATAATCAGTAGGTTAGAATATATTCTGTGGAAGAGTTCATGGAGTGTAATTTGTTACCATGGTTACTGATGGAGCTGGAGCGTGCTATTAACTATTTTATTTGTGTGAACTTTATATAAATTGTAATCGATCTAACAGCTATGTGCACCTTGAATACGGTCCTGGACAGTGGGTGATGTCTAAGGAAAAAGTAGCTGTGCTTCACTGAGAGGTCATGCTGGTCTGAGTGTACCTTTTTGGATCCCCAGTTGAACTATGGAACACAATCTGAGGTTAATTTGACCACTGAGGTTCCTTTGCCTGATGATCATCCTTAACAAGGCAAACGTTTCCTTTCACGTTTACCAGCAAGAAACTTTGATTATAGAGGAAAATGAAAACACAACCAATTTCTTAAAGTCTTATCGTGATTATTCTGTTGTAGGCAATCACAACCCTAGTTTTTTTCTTTTTTTTTTCTTATTTGTCTTTTTCTTTGATCAATTTACTTGTAAATATTTTTATGCAGGAACAAAAAGGAAAGAAGATGAAACATAAATCAACTTTTTTTAAATTTTGTAAACACCTGGCTTGAAAATTTGCATAGAGTACTGGGAAACTATGAGAAAGGAGTTTCTATAAATGTTTATTTTTAAAAAGTTGAGACTTTTAAATGTCTATACTATTTACTGGACACTTAATTTGACCAGTTGGGAGCTTTTTCGACTTTGAAATATTTTCTTTCTCAAATTGAATTTGGTATTAATTTACTTGAATTTTTTACTGATGCCTTGTGAGTTGCATTTTTTTTTTTGTGGCTAATTTTTCCCTTTTTCAATTTCAGCTGATCCTATTAAGATACTAATGCCATCATTATCTCCGACAATGGAAGAAGGGAACATTGTGAAATGGCTGAAAAGAGAAGGTGAGCAAGTACATTACTAATGCCTTGTGTTATTTGATAGTTTTGTTTTTTTTCTAATCAGTTATATTATACAATATGTGATACATGAAATAAATTGGGTTCCTCTGCTAATTAATCTAAGTTCGTTTAGATAAAATTTTCCCATGGTAACGTTGCAGAGGTTTCTGAGTTCAGCCTGTAACTTTTCACAAGCGGGGAATGGTAAAATATGTTAAGGCTCTTTTTTCCAATTTCTAGTCCTTATACTTAACTTTTAGTTTCAGCATCATAAATTAGTCGATCCCCTTAAGTTAATTTATAGCTTTACAATGATTCTGTGTGTGTGTGTGTGTGTGTGTGTGTGGTGTGTGTGTGTGTGTGTGTGTGTGTGTGTGTGTGTGTGTGTGTTTCCTAGTGCTAGGCAAGTTGATTATCAATTTTATTGAAAAGAACAAATAAGTAAGAATAATAAGGAAAACTCTCAAAAGAAGAGCAGTGGAAGAAGGTTATAGCTCTACCAGATATTGAAACATATTTTTAAGCCCCATAATTAAAACTGTGGTATTGGTACTTAAGACAGAATAATAGAATTGCATAGAAAATAAGGAAAGAAATAGTTGCACATGGATATTTTGGTGTAATGAAGGAAGACAATATTAGATTTATTCTTTACACTATACCAAGGAAAAATTACAAATGAATCAGACACTTAATGTATAAAAATGAAACCATACAAGAATAGGGGGGAAAATGGTGAATTTCTCTGAACCTGGAAGTGAAATAAACATCTGAACTACAGCTCAAAATCCAAATGCAGTCAGGTAAATGTTGATAAATGTAATGATACAAATAATAACTTTTGTATGGCTAAAAACACAATAAGTAAAGGAAAAAAACAAGTGACAAATTGGAAAAGAGTATTTGCAATTTTTATCACAAAGGATTAATAAAATTTAGAGAATAAGAAAACTATCAACTCAATAGGTAAATGGGAAAGATACATGAACAAATGATTTTCAGAAAAAGTTTTTCAAATTGCCTTTAAATATATGAAAAGATACTTAATCTTCCTACTAATAAGAAATATGCAAACTAATAGTACACTGAGATAGCATTTCTTACCAATCATATTGACAGACATTAGAAAGTTGGACAAGTTTTTCAGTTGATGAGGCTATGGAGGGCATGGAGGGGAAGTGGGCACTCTCTCATACGTTGCTGGTGAAAATGCAAAATGGTATAAATCCTGGGGAAGAGGATGTGTCAATATCTAGAAAAATTATATTTACCCTTTGGCCAGGTAATTCTACTTCTAAGAATTTTATCTCAGTGTTGTCCTGGCAAAAGTCATTAGGTTATAACCAGCAGCAGAACTAGACCTCCGAGAAATTCAGGTAGTTAGAATTACTAGCTACATAAAAATGTATGTTTGAGACAATTGAACATGTAAGAGAAGGAACTGAAAATACAAAAAAAGACAAACACTACCTAAAAAGTCTAGACAGATTTGAAAGGGATAGATAGAATTGTTAAAATGAAAAAGATTATCTCTAAAATTAGAAAACAGAACTGAAGGTTGAATTAAAGTGATTAAACATGAGTGACCAAAGAACTTGTGAACTGAAGACCAACCTGAAAAAATTAGCTTGTATGCAGCACAGAGCGATAATGCAGTAGAAAAGAATGAACGGGAAGTTGAGACATGAAGACTAAAATGAGAATCAATCAATAATCCAATAAGAGGAATTCCAGAAGGAGGGGAAATGAGGAAGAGGTATAATATTCAAAGAAAAGATGGCAGAGAATTTTCTAGAATTTGAGAAAGACATATGTCATATAAATGAAAGAGCCAGTGCTTCATTAGGAAGCACTTTGAGTAATTTGCTGTTCATGGCTGTTGCCATCTTTTAAAGTAATTATCAGTATTTAAGGAAGTTTCACCTTTATAAATAATGTAATCAGTTGAAATCTATTTTTAAGTTTCTTTTTGCTGAAGAATTACAGAACTTTGGCTATTTCCATGTTCAGTATGATAGAGTGTTGGTGTCATTCAGTAATAATTCAGACACAGAACACCCTTGCAGGCTTATTATAAAAAGATTACATTTCTTCACGCTGAGAACTGATAGGCAAGTGGATAAGAGGATTCTTTGGACCACATTTATCTCTCAAACTCTGAGCTCCCGGGCAATCTGATAAGTTATTCACACCCATTAGAATATGGAGAGTGGTGCGATGATGAGCAGCGAGACAACGGTCTCATCTTCCTGTGCTTTTTTCCTTTTGATTACAATGCGCTGTTTTAATACAGGACAAGCCAGGATGCACTTGAAGCCCAAAGAGCTTGTTTCCCTGAAGGCCGCTCCTAAGAGTCTGTGTTCTGTCAGCTGACGGGGATGTTTGCTGACACCCTGTAAATGAGAGCAGTCTTCATCCTTGGTTCTCAGCAGTTCACTGGCTTCTTGCCTAAATTCATCCCCTTTGTGATTTAATTGAGCATAATTTACTTCTTTTTACTAACATTTATGTACTGTACACATGGATATGACTCTGTATGTCTAAGTATGTTTGGTACCTGACATATTTATAATAACTTGGTTCAGTCATTCTGTATTAAAAAACATTCTGGCAGAAAACTTTTTATATACCTTTTTTTCTCTTATTAGCTATGTTATTAAAATGTTTTACCTTGAGATCTTTTGAATGTATGGTCACCACTATTGAGTTTAGGCCTTCAAACATTAAGAGGATTGCAAGTTTTTTCATGAAAAAGAGGAGTGTTTTATCTAATTATGAATCTAATTTGTTTTTAAGCAAAGGCTGATCTGATAACCTTTAATGGATAGCAGGTCGGTCTTGAAGTTTTCTTGAAAGTCTGAGACTCTGTAATTCACAAGTACTATTACTAAAGTCGTGTGTGTGTATGTGTGTGTGTGTGTGTGTGTGTGTGTGTGTGTGTGTGTGTGTGTGTTAAGCCAAGGCAATAAAGGTGTAATGAAAAGAACTCTGGCCTAGGAATCAGGGTTTGTCCTTTGGGGTCCCACTCTGCCATGAAGTAGCTGGGCATGAGCTGAACTGGATGAGGTCGAAGGTATATCCCTCGCTTTAGAATTCTATGATAACTCAATTTCATTTTCTTTTTTAAGTCACAGATACATGCACTAATATGACATATAGATTAATCCCATCTTTGTTGATCTAATGAATGATAGAAAAGTAGTTTTGTGATGCGTATTAGAATACTTAATTTCAGTCTGAGGATTAAGTAAAGGGTATGCATCATAAAATGAGTAGACAACACACTTGAAAAGTGCTAGGTAACACACACATCTCTTGAAAGGTAAATTGAGCTATATATAATTCCACATCTTTATTACAAGTTTGTGCTTCAGATATTTTCAGTTAAAGCGAATATAGTATATTTTTTTCATCTTTTGGAAGGTCAAATTTGTTAAAATAGTAAAAAGGAAGAAAATATCCTTGTTGCCCCTTTTGTGAGAGAATATTTGAGGGTATAAAAAAACATTGTTTTTTTGTTTGTTTTTTTTCTTGAGACACTTAAAAGCGTATCATGAAACACTGGAGCAGAACTAGGCCGAGATAGTTATGTGAGGTTCTGAGCCACACACAGTGCCTGGAGCACACAGTATGTGCTTCATTAGTGATGTTAGCTGCCGCTGCCCTTGGTGTTACTCCTACTAACATTTTATGTATTCCTTCTGTTATGTGACTGGGAATTTTGAATATTTCAAATATTTTTTGTAAGTCTTAGACTATAATATAGTGTATAAAATTCAGAAGTAAAACTGTTTGAAGGAGTTTATCACTGAGGTGTTATCACTAGGTGCCATTAGAGAGTAACGTGGGTCTGTGGCATCTACTATAGAAGAGGCTTTGGTTTCTATTATTTTGGGGGATTTGTATAACATGTTAGTGGTGCTAAAATGGAAAATTTTTGAAATAGGCATTTCACAAATATCAACATTTTTTTCAGTATGCTATTTTAACAGCTTTATTGAGGTATAACTTACAGATCATAATGTTTATCTATTTTAAGTGCACAATTCAGTGACTTTTCGTAAATGTATAGTATTTTGCCACCATCACCACAATCCAGTTTTACAATATTTCTGTTACCCCAAAAAGATAACCTGATGCCTGGTTGCAGTCACTTTCTTCTTGTATCACTAGCCCTAAACAACCCTAATCTGCTTTTTGTCTCTAAAAGTTTGCCTTTTCTGGAAGCTTCATATAAATAGAATGATATAATATGTAGTCTTTATGACTGGCTTCCTCTACTGAGCATGATTTTGAGGTTCTTCCATGTTGTAGCACGCATCAGCAGTCCATTCCTTTATTGCTAAATAGCATTCCATCATTATGCTTTTTTGCATTTATTGTTAGTATTTCTGTTATGTCAGAATTTTGGAATTGGTGAGTGGCATTCTAGATTACACTGTTATTCATAGAACTTTCTGTGGTGATGGAAACGTCCTGTGTGCACTGTCCAGTACAATAAGCACTTGCCACATGTGTCAAGTCCTTGCAGTGGACAACACAATAAAATGTAAGAGGTCAGAAGGATGTAAGGGAGCTTAGCTTTCCTAGCAACTTCTTTCTCAGCGCCCAGGGCAGAACCTCAGATGGCCGAGGAGCCAGGTTGCCTGGGGTCTTGGGCCATGCACATAATATCCTTTTTTCTGTGTGTGACGAAATGGAAGGAGGTGGCAAATGCTGACTAGGCCCCACCCCCCATCTCCCCAGGCTGCGGTAGTCACTGGTGGGATGGAATTGGCATTGCTGCTGTTTCTTCTCTTCTTGAGTCAGGTTAGGACCTTCTGGGAGCTGGTCTGTCATACTAATTTATTTATTTGTTTGTCTTTTGCGATAGCATCTTACACAATGTCATTCACATAGGGGCAGCTAATATTTGTTGAATAAACGATTGAATTATTTTTATCTCTAATGGTGGTTGTCATTATGGTTCGACATAGCACTAAAAGATTTTTTTTTCTTTAATG